TTTTAAAAAGAAACCTGCTATTGTTGTTTGTCATTCCTTTGTAGGATACTTGTCTTTTCTATCTGATATTCTTAAGATCGTGTCCTTATCGGGATTTCACAAGGTAGGGATATTCTTCACACTGTCAGCTGGCAGGTTCATGCTTTCTCCAGCTCGCCACTGTTCTCTGTCTCAGCGTCTCTCGCCAGGAAAACCTTCTCTCTTTCCGGACACCATTCTCTTTATTTCCTTTTCTTTGTCTTCTCTCTCCCTTGCTGTGTGTTACATTCTGAATGATTCTTCCAATTTATCAACCAGCACTGTAAACATGCTTTGCTGCTTAGCCCAGATTTTTAGGTGTCTCCCGTCACCCCCCACCCCCGTTTTTTATTGCAGAATTGCATTTTTCTTTGAGTTTGTATTTGGTTCTTTTCAAATATGCCTCTATACTGCCCAGTTCTTGCTGGTGGATTCTATTACCTCCTTTATCGTTTGGAATGTGCCTAATGGTTGAAAGTCTCTTTCATATTGCGTTATCGTCTATAAGCCCTGTGTGCATCTGCCTGTCCACGCGTGGTGTTGGCTTTCACGTGTTCTCTATAACGTGAGTGTCAGCCCTCCCCAGGGAGTGTCTGTGCTCCTGTTGGCATCACAAGTGGTCTCTGGAATAGGGAAGAGACTCTCCATCTCCTCTCCACACACACCAGGCCTCGCAGAGTGTAACTGAAGACCCTGTCCCGAGGCTGCTGCCCTTCAGCTCCCACTTACTTTGAGTTATTTCTTTGTTTCTGGCACGTAGAGATTTTCCATTCTCACTTTTGATTCCAAATATAATCTTGTTGTTGTTGTTGCCAGATTGTATGCCATATTTATCTTTTTTAGAATGACACGGGGACTTTGTACCTTATTCACTGTATCTTCTCAGGGAAATCAGTATCCCCAGGTGATGCAAGAAACTAACACACTTGGCTACTAACTGAAAGGTTGGAGGTTCAGATCCACCCAGAGGGGCCTCAGAAGAAAGGCCTGGCAATTTACTTCTGCAAAATCAACCCTTGAAAACACTGTGGAGCACAGTTCTACTCTGATGCATGTGGAGTCATCAT